CATACAAATACATATATAAAGATATCATCTGCCAGATCTATGTGTAGTCATGAGTATAGTCCCATTTGCCCACCTATACCTGATCATCTTGCTTGTCTACCTATGTATCCACTTGTAACTTAATGTTTGTTATTACTGATAATGCAGCATTATGTATGTAGTAGAATTTATCTTTGTTGTCTGTACCTCTTGTGTACTTCTCCATGTGTTTTTTTTCCTTAGTGATACTGTGCTGATCACCTGCTTTTGGCATATTGCCAATTTGTGTGTTTTTAAAATCAGGTGTCTCCCCTGAAACATCCTCTTTCAAACTTGCTTAATCAAGTGAAATAACCCATCATGTATATGATATATGACCTGGTCTGTTGTATTATTAAAATCTTAAGTCTGCCTTATTCATATTGTGTTAAATATGAATGTTGATAGGACCATTTGGGAAGTTCATCTCCTAGGTGATAAGGAGTCACATATCTCCCCTTTAGTGTATTTAGCTAATTCATCCTTTTGGAATCACACAGTTGAACTCTCTTTTTGCTTGATTGGAATGTAATCACCAGTGCTAATCAGCCCCCTTTCCCCTGGGTCCACTTCCTGTATTTATCTGTCTTTTCCTATATAGATAAATAAAAGGACAGAAATGTGCTCATTCTTAATTAAAGAAACCAAATACCCATGTATATGGTAACATTTTTAAATTAAAATTAGTAAAAAATTGAAACATAATTTTGTATTATTTTATAAAAATTATTTTTTTGAAACTTTATATTAACTCTTTAATATTGAGTATTGTCATACATTCATGGTCTCTTACGCATTTATTTTAATTAACTATAATAATAATGAGTACTTTTAATGTTATTTTAGCACCATCTTTAACATCTTTGCTTCCTGGCAATAAGATATTCAAGACTCACTCTGAATTTTCTACATCAAAACATTGTGCAGGTTACATTGCTAGGAGCCTTGCTTTCTTTAGGTGGAGAATGGTGTTAGAGACTACAATCTAGGGTTTGCACATAAATGTTGGTGGGAGCAAAAGTCTGATGCTGCTGCTGCTGGGACACTTTTAGTGATAGTCTTGAGAAAGGTAATTCTTTTTAAAATAATGAGTTCATATTTATTTTTCCAGTTTAATATATAGGTTGTTGCACACTACTTTTCTTAATGGAGAAGGTTTCAGAAGCTACTAACACATTCTGTAACATTAATATATGATTTCAAAAAAATCTAAAATATATAATCAAAATATTTAATTTAACATTTTTAGATGTTTATGACTTTTGAGATATAAAAGTTTGAACAAAAACATGCAAAATTGATCCTTCCATTTTGATTGAGAAGACAGCCTGTTGTTTGTGACAAACTTTCATACCTATCTATTTCCTTGGCCAATATCATGTGACTTTTCTTTTATAGTCTCCATGAAAGAATGCATGCAGTGTTTCTCAAGCTTTAATGTGTGAAAAAGAATCACCTAAGGATCTTGTTAAAATGCAGATCTGGTTCATTAGGTCCAGGGTAGGGCCTGAGAGTCTTCATTTCTACCAGGCTTTCAGATGATGCTGGTGCTTCTGGACTACATTTTGAATAACAGCAAGGGATAACAGATGTCACTATGAGAAAACAGGAACTTTTTGTTGTTTTGTTGGTAAGAATACTCAATATTACTGTAGATTTTTCATTGGTAGGATCATGTGAGGTAACCCACACACTGTCATGTGAACTTCCTGTTCCTGCCAAGTGAGTCATTTGAGCTGAGCATGTTCATTTACTTGAGAGGACCTGTGCCAGCTTCACTCTGTAACAAAGTGCCAGTATACTGTACCAGCATGATTTGTACAGACGAAAACACTGTTTATGAAGTGACAACAATCAGTGCTAATTTATCAGATATAATGCCAGAGTCAAACCCAAATTTTGAGAAAATTCATTTTACTCTAAGTAGCAGCGATAGATTCCATGGGAGACTTGATGATGCCTTTGTGATCTAAGGAAAGACTGAAAAATTATTACCCTAAATAAAAGAATTTTTGCAAAAAAATAGTTCTTCCTAGAGTGAAATACCAGTGTTTCCATGAATACTAACTAAAATGTAATTGAGTTGGCCAATTAAAATATCTTTTGATATTAGACTTTCACTTGTTGCAAAGGTGCTATTTTCCATATTTTATTTTGTTTTATTTCTTGACTCCTTTATCACAGTCATAACACTTACAAAATACATTTCTTTTCAGCATGGAGTAACCAGATTTTAAAACCAACCAACACTTTCTCATTTTCATAGTTTAGATACATAAAGAAATCCTAAATGCCATTTTTTTCCATTTATTTATTCAGTGATTTGGGTGAAAGTTTACAGAGCAAATTCACTTTCCATACAGCAGCTCACATACACTTTGTCTCATGACATTGACTACAATTTACCCCAATGCAACAGCTACCTTCCCACTTCCTCCTGATAGTTACCGCTTCCCTATG